GTATACTACGAAGTTCACTTAAAACAAGTGATCATAATCGATCAAATATGCGTAACATTAAGTGTAACTCATCAACAACCCAGTTGCAGATTGGAATCATTGAAAATAATAGAGGATTTTTATGCCCAGACATATATTGATAGTTTCAATTAATATCATCTATATTTTTACTAATAGTCCAATTATCTTGTTGTTTATTATTTACTTCTAAAATCCCATTTTGAGATTTATCTATTAAACACCAAAGACAAAAGTTTGCACTATTAGCTGATTTGTGTCCTAAACAAATACTAAGAAATTTCCAATCTGCAGAAATATATAATTCAATATTCCATTTATATCCATTATTATCAATAAATCCATCTTTAATATCATGCAACTCTTCTACTAATAGAGCTAATGCAATATGTAATGTACTATAACTTTCTATACCTGGGTAGATAAGTAGTGCAAAATGTGAATTAGATTTGAAAATATTCATATTATTCATGATTGTGAAAGTTACCATTACATGTTTAACTTTGTGTCCAACATTTCTTCCATCACCAGAAATACGAATATATAATGTTGATTCAGCATAATTAAGGATTCCCTTATTAATCATTGATGGTATAAGAAAGTTTAAAGTATCTTTAATTGAACGTCTTGCACCATTGCCTAATGAAGCTTTAACTTCATTAATAATTTCTGGATCGGTAATATGAATTTCATGATCTGCATTAAATTTATCTTTAGATTGTTGCACTTTAATCGAATAAATTGGAATATCTTTGTTCATAATCTTATTAATAAAATTCACTTGTTCATAAATAACTCTATCACAAGGTAAGTCTTGACATATTGCTGCTAGTGCACGATATGAAGATCTTGAGATTCTGTTATGATCTAAAGCACATACTATAGCTAATTGCCGATTTATTTCATCATCATTTTTAGATTGATATATAATTCGATATTTTGAATTATTTACTGTAAATGTTAATTCATTTATTGTAATATCATCTTTAGCAGAAAAATGTTGTTTTATTTGATCTTCAATACTAGCTAAACTGCTTGTACTAAAACTTCTACATCGTATCATTTGCATTCGATTTGTAATTTCAGAAAATGGTTTAATGATATTTGGTTTTTTTCGATTATCTCGAACTAACTTAATTTGAGACAACTGCAACCCAAATAAATAAACTCCATTTACTTTAGTCTTTGGTCGCTGAAACTAATTAATTAATATTAGTAAATTTTTTATTTATTTCAATAAGTTATATAATGATATATATATTTAAAT